GTGTTGTCGGTTCGGCAGGACCTAGCCACTTAGACTACTCACCATGTTGTAGGAGATCTCTGAGTTGAAATGTGTGATGATGCATAAGTTGTTGATGAGTTGATTTGTTGTTGATACGAGTTGTATATATATGTTGTTGTGTTGTTAAGCTGTGGTTGTGTTGTTAAGCTGTGATTGTGTTGTATGTTGACCCTGTTGAGGATGATGATAGTGTTGCTATGATGTAAGTTGCTTTTAAACATGTGTTGTTGAGAGATGTGTAATACATGTGTTGGTTGTTGTTATGATGAATATAGTAACTATTTCAAATGGTTTGTATAGTAGTTGAGTTGAAGTATTGATCAATGTTGATATGTTGAATATAAGTTGAAATGACGTTAAGATGTATAGTATATGTGTTGTTTGTCTTTTGTGTCGGATGTGAAGATGATTATATAGTTGTTGTGTTTCATATTTGTTTATTATGAGTTGTTTATTGTCTTTAGCTTATCCTTGCATGTTTCCATGTGGTTTGGACTGCGATGATCATACGTTGTATGGGAGCAGGACAGGGATAGGCTGGGAGATAGCTGCTAGCATAGTTTTAAAAATCGGACCGGTCATCGAACCGGTTAAGGTACTGGGTCAGTGGGTCAAAGGTTGAACCGGTGAGTCATTAATTGAACCGCATGACTCGGTTTTTATTTATTTTTATTAAAAAAATATTCATATTAAATATATTTTATACTTATAAATTTTAATAAATTCATATCTTATTTTAAATTTTAATTTTTCTATCTTATTTAAAATTATTTTTATTTTTATTTTGTAAAAAAATACATAAAAAAATTACATGTTAAACGGTATATTAATACAAATTAAAAATATAAATAATATGTACATATATAATATGCTTGCAATTAATATCACAAAATAATATATGTAATATTTACATAAATATTATATTATTAAATATATAATTTAAAATTAATAATATACTATAAAAGTTATTTAAGTTGTATATATTGCAAACAAATATATTAGAACAAGTAATCATTGTTATATTTAATAAGACTCCTTGCTTTTCCATTAAGAGATTCAATTTTCATTATTATTTTTTGTGGTTTATGGTCCCTTAAAAAAATTAAAAAAAGAAAAGAAAAAAAAATGGTTGAACCAGTTTGACCCACCGATTCACCGGTTGAACCGGAAAATTGACCGGTTCAATCGGGTTTGAAACGGGTCGACTGCATAACCGATCGCACTTAAGATTCGGACCGGCTGGACCACCGGTTCCCGGTCCAACCGGTTCGACCGGCCGGTTCGGTCCGGTTTTTAAATCACTGGCTGCTAGAGGCCAAAAGAAGTGCATGGAGATATATATATATTTTTGTAGGCTACCTTATAGTAGCATATTTTGTTGTATATAACTGGTTGATGTTGGTTGCTTGATTAGCAACATGTGTTGTAAATATTTTATTATACTATTTTATACATATATTCTAGTAGTGTGTAGTGTTGTTTCGTAGTTTGACGGCTACGGCAGGTCGTTACAAATTGCATGTTGTAAACTGGGATAAATGTCAATGTTGAATTGATTAAATATAATCTACCCGCCTTGTTGAGGAGTTTCCCTTTCCAAGAAGCTAATACACTATTTATACATTCAACCACATGTTGGAAATTTGCAATTATGGCTTTCCCCTAAATCATTAGGATCCCCAAATACCTTCTGAACTTGGATGTATTAGTGATGTATAGGATTTCCTCCAAACAAGCCACCTTCATTTGCCCCCCTTCATGTGTAATAACTTTTAACCCTGACATTAAATAGAATTCGTCCAACATTAATGCCACAACTTGAACTTGATATTTCATATCATGACAGAAAATAAGAATGTTATATGCAAAAAAAAGGTGTGAGAGAGGTGGACCACAATGAGACAAACAAATTGGTTCCCATAACCTATCCTTATGTAGTTCATGTATGCAGAGAGCCAATTGTTTCATGCATAAAACAAATAAATATGGAGAAAGAGGATCCCTTTGTCTAAGGCGTCAGGAAAGTGCAAAAGGTGGTAGCATACCTCCATTCCAAAGAATCGAAAGAGTGGAATTTGTGACCCACACATGATAAGCCTTATAATTCTATCAAGGAAACCAAATCTAGTCAACGTTGCCCATAGAAAACTCCAACTAACTTTGTCATAAGCTTTCTTTAGGTCTATCTTCATGGCTAGTGTCCCTATTTTGGACTTATCCCTATAAGTAAAGTTAAAGGCTCTTGGGCAAGAATACTGTTGTCTAAAGTTCCTCTTCCTAGAGTGAAACTACCTTGGAAAGGACCAATTATCTCATTTAGGAACGGGCAAAGTCTAGAAACAATTACTTTGGAGATAACTTTGTAAGCCACATTACACAAACTAATCGGCTGAAACTCCTTGAGATGAGACGGGGTATCCACCTTAGGAATTAAGACAATCAAAGTTTCTAGGAGGGAATGTTCAGAAAATCCATTCCAAAAAGTTTCTCTCATAGTTTGCCACAACTCATCTCCCACAATATGCTAGTACTGCTTGAAGAAGAAAGGCTAGAACCCACCGGTCCAGGTGCCTTGAAAGACTTCATACTCATTATTGCTTTTCAGACTCTTCTTTAGTAATAGGTGTAAATAAGGAAGTCACAGTCGCGTCACTAAGATAAGGAGGAGTACCAAGGTGCATATCTGAAATTGATCTCAATGTATCTTCAAAAAACAATTCTTTGCAAAACTAAGAAGCTTCAGTGCAGAGGACTTCAAGGTCAGTGTGCCACATCCCATTAGGGAGAAATAAATCCCAAATTTTATTTCTTCTTCTTCGCGCAAGAGTTTGGGCATGGTAAAAAAATAGTATTTTGATAACCAAACCTCACCCATGTTTCTCTAAACTTTTGAAATCAAAGGAATTCTTCTTGGAAGAGGATTTCATTAGCTCAGCTTGGACATTACCCTTAAGTATGGACAAAGTTTTATATTCACCCTACTCGAGTCCAAATTGGACCCCTTTAAATTGTGCCTAGACCACCTTCTTCCTATAAGTAATATTTCCAAGCACATTTTGTTAAAATTTTAGGCATCCAATTTTATAGCTTGTTACCCATAAGCAAGGGTTGGTGTGCTTTGTACCCAGGCATCATGAACAACTTTTTCAAACCCCTTGTGGGTGGCCTGGACAACATGAAATCAAAATGGTCTCTCCTAACATTTATCCTAAAGACCTCCAAACTTGGGAAGAAGAGGACAATGATCTAAGCAAATGCAACACGAATTCTCAACAAAAGCCTAGGGAAATAAAGCCTGCCAAGAAGTGTCACATAACACTTTATCAAATCTCTTAGCCAAAATAGCACCAAGTTGTTTCTTATACCATGTGAAACATAGCCCTTTCGCACCCATATCTAGTAGGCTGCAAACCTTCATGAGTTGAATGAAATGTGAAGCACGAGCTAGGGAAAACCTCCCACCTAAACATTTAAAGGGTGACACAATTCCATTGAAATCTCCTAGAAGTAACCAAGTTTTAGAAATTTGGTTTCTCATAGTGTGGATATGAGACCAAAACGCAATCCTTGAACTCACCCTAGGACTAGTGTATACTACCTTGCAAACCTAAACATTGTTCTTGTGCTTGACTTCAAAGTTAATTGCTTGCAAAAAATGGCTATCCTACTTGTTATGAGATGACTATTTTGATCCACTAGGATCCAAATTCCACCAGAATGACCTCTAGCTTCAACTTTATGGCATAAGTCAAAGTTTAGCATGACTTTTTCCCTATCCGCCTCTAAATCAAATTTGACCATATAATAACCATGTGAGATATCCAATAGGTCAAAGCCACCTTGAAATCGAAAAACATGGTTCCCTCCTTAATGAGATTTTACACTTCTTTAGGTTTAGACGAGCCACCCAAAACCTTCTCCTTAAAAGACATCCTCTCACTCTTAATCCTCCCATTTTTGTCGGAGGGTTTTGGTGGCATCGCCATTCCTCCATAAAGCTGTCAAAACGGGCCAATCCAGCCCATGTAGGTCAGCCCACCTTGACCCACTTTAAAAATGAGTCAACCCAACCCAGTCCGCTTTTAATTTTCTCAAAATAAATTTGGCCCGGCCCGGCCCGGCCCACCACGGGTTGGTGGGTTATACGGGCCAGCCCACCAGCCCACCAAAAATTAAAAAAAAATTATCAACAAAATTTAAAATTTAAAATTAATTATAAATTAACATAATAGTCATAAAATTAAATCATTAATAGTCATAAGTCATAACTCATCATACAAAATTAAATACAAATCATGATAAAGGTCTAAAACAAAAATTTTCAATATCCCATCATACAAAATTAACTACAAATCATACTTAAATTTTTATTGCAAAAAAAAATGGTGGGTTGGTGGGCTACCCGGCCCACCACGAGTTTAGCCCGAGTGGGCCAGGTCAAAGTGGGCTGGGTTGAGATATACCCACCTACTATAAAACTTTAATTTTTTTTTACCTGACCCGGCCCGTTTTCAAGGTGGGCCGGATTGGCCCACGAGTCCCGGCCCACTTTGACAGCTCTATTCATCCATGATCTAAATGCTCTCGATGACCCATTCCTCTTCATAGCTTTTTCAAATAATTAATTTGAGACTCTTTAAAATAAATGCCCTTTAATTGATTTGGAAAAAGTAATAATTTAAATATAATTTATACATATATATAAAAAGATAAATTTATTGTTATCTATATTAACTACTTTTTTAATTTTCTTATATATATATATAACACTTATTTTAGTAAAAATATATAACTCTTTTTCATTTGGTTAATTCTATAAAAATTTTGAATCACATATTTGCTGAATTAAGAGATGGAGTTAGTGTCTTTAATCAAGAAACATAAGTGGTGAAATAATATTTAAAGGAGGGAATGGGGGTAATAGGGTAATTATGAGAGCATAAAGAGGAGGGTTCTCTGTGGAGAAAAGACAGTTGTATCCCCGAATTGATGCGCATAAACCATCCATAAGTGGCTGCGCGTTCCTCTTCCACTTGCTTCTCTTCTGCCTCACATCACTCTTCTCTTCTTCACTTTCCTTTTTCCGATTCATTGCAGAAACCACATCTTCCAACACTCTCCAATGGCTCTCAGACTCAATCCTCTCCCTCCCCAAACCTTCTCCCTCCCCCAGATGGCCAGCCTTAGATCTCCCAGGTTCCGTATGGCCTCCACCCTCCGCTCCGGTTCCAAGTTAGTCAGATCCACTCTTCTTTTTCTCTCCTCCTAATCGCATTCATTTCCTTTTTCAATTCCATTCTCGCCTCCATGATCTACCCTTTTCTCCTTTCTCTTCTTTTTCTTGTTATCATCACTGTTGCTTCTTCCTATCATTGTTTCTGCTGTTTTTTTATTTATTTTATTTATTTTTCCCGCAAAAATGTGTTTTTTATTTGTGGGTGTGTGCGTGATGCCTGAATTGAAAGGTGGCCACAGTGAAAACGACGCGCTTTTGAAATGGACAATTTTTCTTCTCGATAAAGGAAAATGCGTACCTGCGGAGATATTCAATTATTGTTGGTCTGTTTGGTTTGGTAATATGATGGTTGGGGTGGTTCGATTTCATTCAATACGCACCATTGGCTTTTTCACTATTTTCTATTTTTATTTTCTCTTTGGCCTGCATGTCTTTTCTTCGGGTTGGTGAGGATTGCTATTTGGTTGAGAAATCTGTTTCATTGTACTTCATTACCGACAACTTTTTATTTCTGCTGTTAAATTTTTTATGTGGTGACGAAACATGCGGTTAATCGAATTGTTTTTCATGATATCAATTTTGCTGTTCACTATTTCAGCCTTTTCGAAGAAAAAAAATTGCATGACTGTTATTCACATGTTCATTCATTTTACCCTCATTTTTTCACCCCATGTCACGATTCTTAACAAGCCCGCGTGAATCTAGCTCACGTTTTGAGAAACTTGTTCCTTTGGGTTTATTGTTCAGTGTTGGCAGTGTCTGGCACGTATTCCCTTAATTTTGGCATTATTCGTGGTTGGGATTCTTCTTTCTTCTTCAGTTTCGAGCTGAATATATGTATAATCAACTATGGAGATTAGAACTTGCGGTGTCTTTATTTTTCCTTCTGCTTGATTTGATGTGCTGTCTCTGCTTTTTAGCCCATGATTTATGAATATATATGGTTTAATGAATGTTGTCAACTTGTTGATAATTGTGATCCTCTTGTTGGAGGTGAATATAATAGAATTATTGGTAAACAGTTCCAATTTGTTGCTTTCTGCTGCATCAAAATTGTTTTGATGGTTGACTGGGTTTTTGGATGAGGATTATGCATGATTTTGGCACGTTCTGTGGAGCTGTCCATTTAGGACTTTGCTTGGTGCTTGTGTTAATCCTTGATGCATGTACACTTCATTTTGTGAGCCATGCACATGCTGGGTACAGTTACACTGTACACATTGGGTATGCCTACGTGCATATTTGGCATGTACAATTATGAGTTATCCTTTGTATTGCAAAATATGCCACCATGTCCCCAATTGAAGTTGGCGTTTCCCCCTCCCCATTCATCCTTATCTCAGATTAGTTTGTAATGTTGTGCAAACTGCACGTTCTGTAAAATAGTCATTTTTATGCTATTTGGTATTTGTGTTTATGGAACGGTGTATAACTTTACATGTGGGGGTTTTATGATTATTATTGCCATGAATAATACCGTTTACTTTATAGATCAAATTTACCAGCATTGGATCATTTGAAAAGCTGCTGTAATTTATTGCTCTAGTATTCATTTGAATTTGTTTCAGAGAGGTTGAAAATATTAAGAAGCCTTTCACGCCTCCCAGAGAAGTGCATGTTCAAGTAACACACTCTATGCCACCCCAGAAGATTGAGATTTTCAAGTCTTTGGAGGATTGGGCTGAGCAGAACATCTTGACTCATCTTAAACCAGTAGAAAAATGTTGGCAACCACAGGATTTTTTGCCAGATCCTTCCGAAGATGGATTTGAAGAGCAAGTGAAGGAACTGAGAGAGAGAGCAAAGGAGATTCCTGATGATTACTTTGTTGTTCTTGTCGGAGACATGATCACAGAGGAAGCCCTTCCTACTTACCAAACAATGCTTAATACTTTGGATGGAGTTCGTGATGAGACAGGTGCCAGCCTTACTTCCTGGGCAGTTTGGACAAGGGCATGGACTGCTGAAGAAAACAGACATGGTGATCTTCTTAACAAGTATCTCTACTTGAGTGGACGGGTTGACATGAGACAAATTGAGAAAACAATTCAGTATCTGATTGGGTCTGGAATGGTAAGATTCTACACATCTGTAGTCTATTTTGGTCTTCAGCTATTGTAGTTTTCAATTTTCATAATGAATCATACAATCATAAATTTGATTGACAAATGCATCCAGATGCATTAATGTGATTCTCAGTTAAATTCACATAATGTCACAGAACTATTGAAGGGTATTCTTAGAATGACTAGATTACTAGAAATTGATCCAACTATCCTGAAATTCTTTACACAGCATAGATCATTACGTTGCTCTGTAGTCATCACACTAGTTGTTTTTTTATAGCTGCTACACTAGTTACATTTATAGTATTGCCCTTTTTTGACTGATTGAAATTGATGGATAGGATCCTCGGACTGAGAACAGCCCCTACCTGGGTTTCATATACACTTCATTTCAAGAGAGGGCAACCTTCATATCCCATGGAAACACAGCCAGGCTTGCCAAGGAGCATGGAGACATAAAGCTGGCTCAGATATGCGGAATGATTGCCTCGGATGAGAAACGCCATGAGACTGCATACACCAAGATTGTGGAAAAGCTGTTTGAGGTTGATCCTGATGGAACAGTGACGGCTTTTGCCGACATGATGAGGAAGAAAATTGCCATGCCAGCACACCTGATGTACGATGGCCGGGATGACAACCTGTTTGATAACTACTCTGCCGTTGCCCAGCGCATCGGGGTCTACACTGCCAAGGACTATGCTGATATCCTTGAATTTCTGGTGGGGAGGTGGAAGGTGGACAATCTAACAGGACTTTCTGGTGAGGGAAGAAAGGCTCAGGAATACGTCTGTGGTCTGCCACCAAGAATTAGAAGATTGGAGGAGAGGGCTCAAGCAAGAGTGAAGGAGTCATCAAAAATTCAGTTCAGTTGGATTCATGACAGGGAAGTACTACTCTGAACGCACCAAGGAGCATCGTGAATCTTGCAGCAACACCATTCTGAGAAATGTTGACTAGTTGAAAATTCACTTGTCTTTTTCTCTTATCCTTTTTTTTTTTTTGGTCCTATGTTATATGTCACTGTAAGGTGAAACAGTTGTTCTTGCATGGTTCGCTAGTTACGCTTTAAGCAGTTAGGGGCAGCTGTAGTATTAGAAATGCTATTTTTTGTTTTCCTTTTCTTTGTGGTAGTGATGTCTGTCGAAGTATGAGCAAACTTTTTTTTTTTTTTTTTCTGGCAATTTTGATGATAAAGATAAATTTAGTTTTCATGTCGAAGTATTCAGGTATTGTTTATTGTGCATGTTGCAATCGGGATAATTGAAATATGCTTTGTTACCAATATTAATTATGGTATACACTACAGGGTAATTTTATTGTGGCATTCTGCCAAATGATTGCATTTAATTTTGCCAGGATATTATGGTATATTCCAATATTCGTATTCTATAAGCTACCTTGATATGAGTGATATGATGCATCCCAAATTCACAATTCAAAGCACGCAAGCAAAAAGAAATTACAGAGATATTTCATGTTTTCAACCTGATTATAAAATGAGTTAATTATTTATACACTGTTAATATAAATTTTTTTTATACTGATAATTAATTATATTTTTTAATTGTGTCATGTTACTATTAAAAATAAATATATTTATAGTGATATGTCACAATTAAAAGATATAATTAGTTGTCAGTATAAAAATATTTTACACCGACAGTGTATATGTAATTAACTCTTATAAAATTAAATACATCTGATTGGAGAGATAATTATTATGATGTATAACAAGTTATTGTTTTAAGCTACTTTAACCAATTTTAAGTGTTTAAATACAATGAAACGACTAAAGTGTGCGGATTAATTGATGCGTTTTAGCATAATTAAAAGTATTAAGCTTGAGTTAGCGATTTTTGGCTAGAACAACTTATGCAAAGTTGTCCCGGATTAAGTTTAATTAAATGCATAAAGTTTAAATTATAGTGATTTTATATGGTAGACTGTCATCAATAAAAATATTTGTAGTCTTTATTAAAGAAATATGAGGTGACACAATAAGTTACATCTTGTTGAGCACCCAGAGGGTTAATTTATTTTTGGACATTACCCAAAAAGCTTCTCAACCAATGGAGACAACTGTGTGTATATAAACCTATGTCCATCTTCTTGTTTGAACGATTTGCTAAAGGACCACGGTTTAGTCCCTCCCCTGCAACGGAAACTACGAGTATTATCCGATGATGGTCAACAAAGCTTACTCATGGTTTAGCCCCTCTGCCGCTCCATCATGACCTCCCTCATTACAGCGGGACACGTCTCCTAATCCTCCACCGTTTAGGAAGACTTTCGACACAAGGGATCCCAAACTTGCATCTACCTACCAGCCATCATACCCGTCGAGCCGGTCACCTGATCAGACCATCGGCTCTGATACCACTTGTTGTGCATCAGAGGTTATTACACATACACCAATGAAACTTGAGATCAAAACTAATTTCCTTTATTTTTTATATTCTTAAATTGACAAATGAAATAAAATAAGAAGACTAGATTTTTTTTGTTATCATTTTTATCTTTCTCACTCAAGCACGTCTCTCTCTGCAATCACTGCTCCTCCACTGAGAACATGACAATGGGCCAAGCTGCTGAAAGTTCGCTGGTTATGGGGGGACACTTTCTCCATATTCAAAGTCTTAACATGTTATGGATTTCTCGTCCATGTGGTCCTTGCCTACCCTCTTCAATTCGTATTGAGACCTCTTTATAACCTCAACTGCTACGTGGTTTACACATTGGCTCGTGTTCTGTTTTCTTTTTTTAGTTCATTATGTTTGTATGTGCAAGTTAATGCTGTTTGGTACCATAATACCAAGTTTACATGATTTTTTTTTTTGTCTGGAGCCGATAACAGTGACTAATTTCCTTGGGAAGTACCTCAAAGGGTGGGATAGTTGGCTCCAAGATTTAACACGGTTGCATACACAAGGCAAGATTCGAACTCCTAACCTTACTTAAGCGTGGATTAACCCCTACTGCTGAACTACACTCTTATGGTGTGTTTGGATGAAGAATTTTACAAATTCAAGGAATTTTAAATTCTTGGTATTTGAATTACTTTGATTTCAATTTTCATCATTCTTAAAATATTTTGTTTGGATAAGTCAATTCAAATTTCTCAAATTTTAAATTTATGGGTTAAATATGATAATTTGATTCTACCATGATAAATTTGATTTTAAAAATATATTTATATGTTGAGATTCTTAAATTAAATTTTATAAAATTAAATATTAACTAATTTTTAAATATTTAATAATTTTAAAATTTAATATTAGATAATATTTAATAATTTTAAAAATATTTTTAAATATTCAGTAATTAAAAATATGAAGAGATATGAGATAAGATAAAATATATAAGTGAAATATGAAGAAAAAAATATGAGGAATTTCAAATTTTACTTTTTTGGGAGAATTTGAAATTCTACTATTTCAAGGAATTTCACAAATGCTTGAATTTCAAATTCTTTATAAATTCTCCATCCAAACAAGATATTTCACCTCAAAAAATTTGAAATTCTTCAAATAAATGAATTACTCCATTTAAATTCCTCATCCAAACACACTATTAGGGTTTAAGTTTACATGATTTGCTGCTATTGATACGGACCTTCTACATAAGTATATCAACCAACATCAAGAATCCATTATCGTCATGTGTTTATTATATTCCTTGATTTGGTGTTACTTTTTTTATTTTTTTTATCAGCCTTTGGTATGTATATATATTCATTATGAGAATTTTTTTTTTTTTTTTTTAGGTGCGTTCCTGGAGTATCCACCGCCAACAGCAGTGACTAATCTCCTCGCTACGTTGGAGGTACTTCAAAGGGTGGGATAGCTAGTCTCAAGATTTAACGCGGCTGCATACACAAGGCAGAATTCGAACCCCTGACCTTGCTTAAGCGTGGATCAACCCCTACCGCTGAGAATTTTGTTTAAGCAAGTAACATAAATGATTAACGATAAAGTTATCTCTTTAAATATGAAATGTAATTGTATATTCAAGATTCAAATTTAAAATTATTGGTTGAAGTAAAACTTCTATGTATTAATTAATTTCCTCATTTGGTGGTACCATATTTCTTTATTTAAAATTAAGAGAAAAACATAGGATATAAATACAAAGTTGAGATTTTATTCTAGATCTTTATTAATTAATTTTTTAAAGTCAAAATTCTAGGTGAGATTTACATGCAAACAATTTTGTTAAGTATAATTTTACTCTACTAATCCCATTGACAATAACAGAAGGGTCATACAATCTTGTTACCGTAATGATTTATAAGTACTTAGGTCAAATTATTAACAAAACCATCAACTAGACGGTTGTTAGGAGCAAATTTTTTTTTTCTTTACGCACACAAAGATAATATAAGAGAAATAAAAAAGATCACACAAAATTTTTATTTAATATGATTCCACTCCTTATATTTATATTCATAAGGATATTTATTATCTCAAAATGTATTACATATATGCTTTTGAAAATCCTTCTTTCAAGTTTTGCAAATAAAGCTTGAAACATCTTTTTTATAAGTTTTATGCACAAAACTTAGAAACTCTTTTCTCACAGATTTTATGAATGAAACTTGAAAATTTATTTCTCACAAATTTTGCAATGAAACTTGACAAAGTTTCCTTTATATGATCTCCTCTATCTTACTTAAGGTGGTGACTCCGTCTCTCTTATCTAGGATAGTGACCTCCTCTATAGAACAGATAGTTCGTATCATCTTAAGAACATCTATTTATTAACCTAACATCTTAATTTAAAAAAAAAATTAAAATAAATTTTATATTTTAAATTTTAAATAATATCCTAAAAATAAATAATATGATTTTACATCTAAACAATCTCGTATAAATTTAAAATTAAAAATATGAATTATTTTTCCAACAACTAATAACATCAGAGAAAAAGACTCAACACATGTGGATGTATATTTTCTACAACCCTGCACTCGGTTGCTTAGATATTTAATCCATAAAATATCTCAAATCCCTTTGACACAGGAATGGGTCTTGCATGTAGGAATTACACCTCTCTCTACTTCTTTTCTTACGAACCATAATAGTTATATCACTTAACCACCAAACACGTCACCATTTCAGGCCCAAAATAATCTTCTTATATAGGTACACTCATTCTTAATAATCTAGTTGTGGAAAGCATCACCTCTTCGTTCAACGTTAACGAAGCTCAAACATCACCTCCTTCCATTCTCTCAACAACTTAAAGCGGTTAGAGCTGAAGATTGATGTCATTTGTGGAAAGCATTGTTCAAAACTTGTTTCTTTAGGGGTCTAATGGGTAATTTTGTGCTAACCATTTGATTCTTTATTCCACTTATTTATCAATTCCTTTGAAATTATTTTTTTAACATTTACATTTTCTAGAGGTGTAAATGAATGAAACTACTCTTTCTATTTTCTATTATAAGATTTTTTTTTACATAAGTTACAAAAATTAGTTAATTATATTAAATTTTACTATTCCTTCAATATTCTTCTTAAATTATCCTTATTATAAATATTTTAAAATGTAGTGCAATTAAAAGATCATGTATTAAATTATAGATATTTTAGGAAGAATGTCATTAAATAAGATAAAAGTAATTAAAATTTGTTTATATTTAATAACAACAAATGTGTTTTTTGTTACTTATAGTAAAGAATAGAAGTTATCAATTACTTATTTATACTTGTTTGTTTAATTAAATAAATAAACTTTATTATTTAAATTAGTGGAGGCAAGAAATGTCGTGTCACTATTTTTTATTTAAAATTTTAAAATAAAATAAAATTAAGATTAAATAATAACTGTGAATAAGATTTAGAGTGGTCAGATAATTAACTTATTTGAGTAGTTATATAAGTGATTAATTTCTAATATTATTTATTACTATTATTTAAAGATTTAAGGAATAAAATTGTCAAAAAAAAATGTGAAAACAAAAAACAGTTATAAATTCATGTATTCCCTTTATATATAGTTATAGATGAGTAAAATTGAAACTTTAAAAAACACAATATTAAAAAGTTCAAAAATAGCTTGTTTATATATAATATTCTACCAGTAATTTTTTTTTAAAAAATATTTATTTATTTATTTACTATGGTGGGACCATGTATGTGTGCACATTTCTTATGATAATGTTGTAAATATGGTATGATTGTGTTTGTCAAGACATTTTAAGAATTTATAA